GCTCCTCCCTGCCAGGATCAGCTCTAGGGGATGGCTCCTCTGCCTGCCACCACCTTCCCTTTCGACTTCCCTTGTCCTTGTTCTTGATCTATCTTCACCTCTGTTCTCTGTCTCTCCCTTCTCATGTGCTCTTCCCGGTCTTAGAACTCCAGTCAGAAACCGATAGGAAAGATTTTATTACTGTACAAGGTCCTTCAGTGATTACTGGGATACTGGTGGAAATTCTGCAATTACACAGACACCCTTTGTTTTCTGAAAGACGTAGTGTGTTACAAAGGGGTTTGCAAGTCACTGGAAAAAAAAATTTCAATCTGTCTCTGGTGCCTCACTTGAAGAATTCAATCAACCTCACTAGTAAACATGTTTAATGCTAATTTAAGATGCTACCATTTAGAGGAGATTTTCAACTATCTGAATAATGTTGGAACAACTTGTGGCATTGTTTGGTTTGGTGAATCCTATAATGAATCCTGTAATATGTAGAGATGGCATGGCGTTTAATGAGATTTAATTACAATGGGAGTATTTTCATCCTTCACTCCCACCCAAAGCCTGTTCTCTTCCTTTTGCAGTTCCCTGAAGGCTTTCAGCCTGCTGTTTGGCTATTGCTGCCACCTAATGTCTCAAAATAAAATTGCAATGCGTTCGCCTTTTCCAAAAGATTTGCACTATTCTGCTGTTTATGGAAATAACCGTTTGAGAGCAACAGTTGTTTTGCTCTATACTCTTAAGTAATAGCATCCTTGGCTGGGCACAGTGGCTCACACCTGTAATCCTAGCACTCTGGGAGGCAGAGGCGGGAGGATTGCTTGAGGGCAGGAGTTTGAGACCAGCCTGAACAAGAGCGAGACCTCATCTCTACTAAAAATAGAAAACACTAGCTGGATGTGGTGGCGCATGTCTGTAGTCCCAGCTACTCGGGAGTCTGAGGCAGTAGGATTGCTTGAGCTCAGGAGTTTGAGGTTGCTGTGAGCTAGGCTGACACCACAGCACTCTAGCCCAGGTGACAGAGCAAGACTTTTGTCTCAAAAAAAAAAAAAAAAGTAATAGCACTCTAAAATGATTACCTATGGTGGGGAGATTATGAATAGCATACATTCCACAAACAAAAGGTAGAACTAATAAAGCAGGAAGGGATTTAAGAGTCCTAATCTCTAGTATAGGACAAATTGCCAGTGTGACCTTGCCATATACTTCCCCTCATAAAACTGGACACAATACTCTGAATGGCCTATTCCAGCTGTAACATTGTTTTATTGTGTGTACTTTTGGTTATAAAAGCATAGCCCTTCTAGTGATATCATTTGTTTCTTTGGTCTAAAGTTCTCAGCGTTTAACGTTTTCTTTTTTTATTGATATATTTGTGCATATTTATGGGATACATGTGATATTTTGTTACATGCATAGAATGTTTAATGATCAAGTTAGGGTATTTAGAGTATCCATCACCTCAAGTGCCTATCATTTCTATGTGTTGGGAACATTTCAGGTCCTATCCTCTAGCTATTTTGAAATATATAATACATTGTTGTTAACTATAGTCACCTACTCTGCTATCAAACATGAGAACTTATTCCTTCTATCTAACTGTATACGTGCACCCATTAACCAACCTCTTTTTTTTTCATTTTTTTTAAATTTTTTTTTTTTTTTATTTTTCACATCCCTCTGTAATAACCAACCCCTCTTCATCCCCCCACCCCCATACCATCCACACGTCCTTCCCTACCTCTGGTATCTATCATTCTACCCTCTATCTCCATGAGATCTACTTTTTTTTTAGCTCCCACATATGAGTGAGAACATGCGATATTTGTCCTTCTGTGCCTGGCTTTTTTCACTTAACATAATGATCTCCAGTTCCATGCATGTTGTTGCAAATGACATGATTTTATTCTTTTTTATGGCCGAATAGTATTCTGTTGTATATATATATCACATTTCCTTTATCCATTCATTTGTTAATAGGCACTTAGGTTGATTCCATATCTTGGCTATTGTGACTGGTGCTATGATAAACATGGGGTGCAGGTATCTTTTTGATATATTGATTTCTTTTCCTTTGGATAAATATCTAGTAGTGGGGTGGCTGGATTGTATGGTAGTTCTGTTTTTAGTTTTTTGAAAAACCTCCATGCTGTTTTCCATAGTGGCTGTACTAATTTACATTCCTACCAACAGCGTATATGAATTCCCTTTTCTCTGTATCCTCGCCAGCATCCGTTATTTCTTGTCTTTTTGATAATAGCTGTTCTAACTGGGGTAAAATGATATCTCATTGTGGTTTTGTTTGCATTTCCCTGATGATTAGTGATGTTAGGCATTTTTTCATATGCCTGTTGGCCATTTGTATATCTTCTTTTGAGAAATGTCTATTCATATTCTTTGCTCACTTTTTAATGGGATTATTTGATTTTTTACTATTGAGTTGTTTGAATTCCTTGATATTCTAGATATTAGTCTTTTGTCAGATGAATAATTTGCAAATGTTTTCCCATTCAACAGGTTGTCTCTTTGCTTTGTTGATTGTTTCTGTAGCTGTACAGAAGCTTTCTAGTTGAACATGTTTTCTTATAGAGCTATGTTAAATAGATGTTCACATTTCCATTGTGTGAATAGATAGCTTTGATAGCTTTTCTTTGCTCAATTAGCATAGACAGATCTGAAGACTCTGTATTGTTAATACAGCCTTAACCAGAATAACACTGCTGCTTGCTTAGTTATTCGTGGACTTTCTTAGCTTAACTTTGTACTTGTACGTGTTAAGATTACAAAGTCAACTGCTGCTTACAAAGTTTTCAGATTTTATTTTTATAAAACCAATCTGGGCTTTAAAAGATTTATAATTATACTCTTCAACTCTTCCTTAGCATTTTAAAATATAGCATTAATACTTCCATGGGCTAGAAAGAAATCCAAAGAAAGTAAGTTTTCTAGATTTGGAAGAGTGGAGGGAGATAGAGTTTGCTGTATGTGACGGATTTTTTTTTTGATCCTGAAGAATGTTACAATTTGGCAAAGCCTTTCTTTGAGGATTCTGCTATCTTAAACTGACTTTGTAAAGAATATTTTGTTTATATGCAACATTTTAGCAGGTATTTTGAGTGTTGCTGTTTCTCTTAGTTATACCCTAAATAAATTATTTGTCCTTTATAATTCTATGGTAGTTAAAGCAAAGTCAAATGAACATAAAGCTTTACCTTCAACTAATTTTGGCTTAGTAGTTAATAGATCATTTATAGTATTGATTCTTAGGACCCCTGGTGGGTTGAGAACCTATTGAATAAAATAAAAATGGATTTGGACCTGCTGTTATTAATTATGTTTTGATACTATCCCTATTGAAATGAGTATGAGTACTAATTAAATACAGTTTGCTTTGCCATCATCCTTTGCCTACATATTGTCAGACAGATTTCAGTGCTATTGTTCAAGCCATCCTGACCGAATTTTGCAAGTAGAATCTTGAGACTCACAGCCTCAAGTGACTGGCTTGCAGTTAAATTTAGAGCCCTTATTGAGTTCCTTTGAACTATTAATTTTGTTAGTCTATTCAAAAGTTGCTATTACTACTATCAGGTTTATCTAGCACAATTCCTTATAAGCCTGAGCAGACAGATCATAATTTCATTATCTTTTTGCAACCAAAACCTCTCTTTTTAAAAATACTTCACAATTTTATTAAACATTGCTATCAGATTTCTGTTTATTATCCAATTATTACTGATTTTCTTCTTCTGAGTTGAATACTAGATGAAGGTATATGAATGCTTTAATGTAGTGGTTAAGAGCCTAGAATCTGAAGTCAAATTTCCTGAGTTTGAATCCTGGCCTACTTTGCTCTATGACCTTGGGCAAGTTATTTAACTGCTTTGAATTTCAGTTTTCTAATATGTAAAAGGGAAATAATAATAAGAACTACCTAATAGGGCTGTTGTGATGATTAAATGTAGATAGATAGCTAGATAGATAATGCCTTTCATGAGTTATTTATTTAGTTAAATTCCAAGATATTTTATTTATTTTTTGATTCCTGCAAATGTTCTTTATTCTAGGTTTGTCTTTGTCTTTCCAGGGCTAGGGAAAACCATAGGATATTTGAGTATTAAAGTTATATACCTAATTATATATAAATTTATTCATATCTTGTCAATTGTCTTATAGCCCCAAACTTAGGTTAGGTGATTGCGAATGGGGGGAAGGGCTGTGAGGAAAATTAAGACATCACCTCAACTTTTGATAGATGGTTGTTTAAAGATATTTGGTGTGACCTACTCTCTTGGCCACCAGAACAATGCCTTCTCTCTCACTTCCCAGATGAAGTCAGGCTTTTCAGAGAGAGGCTCCCCTGGCACTCTACACTGTAATGAAATAATTGTTTGATTCTTTTTGTTGAGTGCCTTTCTCTTCCTACTAGATTATATGTTATGACACCAAAACTTTTTTCCCCCTCCTTTTTTTGGTTCCTAGCATGTCTTGCCCAAAAGTGTATAGTAAATATTTGTCGAATAATTAAATGAGTTCTCATTTTAGAGATGAACAGAGATGCATATTGTACATGACCTGTCCCAATTTGTGCATTTTCTGAAAACAGTTATAACTAGTAACTCAAGTTTCAAGTTTTCTATGCCACAGTTCTCTCTCTTCTTTCTAGTACACTATGAAAATTTAAGATCTAGAGTAATACCTACAAATGACTTATTACAGAGGTATAGAATACACATATCCCAAGGGGCTATGAAAAGTGAGAGGCAAGTATAAGTTCTTTTGTCAGAGTTGGATGATAGGTACAGAAAGGCTTAAGGAAAGAAGAGACATTTGAACCTGACTTTTAAGGATGGATAGATTTGGGATAGAAAGGTATGGGAAAGGTTACTCCAGCCATAAATGGCATTTTACATAATTGTATGTATCATTTTAGCCTTGATATCTTTAATGCCATTATTTCAATAAATCTTTAAAATATATATATATTAGCTAATGATCTTATCCTATTTCAGTGAACAATGTGGGAATGGCATATGAATATCCTGAATACTTTCTGGACGTTCCTGACTTGGACAATGTAAGTCTTTCTTTGTATATTATGGTAGCAAAAATAACATATGCAGGTCTTCTTGGTGAGACAATGTGGTATAATGATTCAGACTACGAGCCCTAGATTCCAACTGCCTGAGGTTCACACCCTGAGTCTTCTACTCAGGGGTACCTGAGTACCCCTGGGGATGATCCTAACCATACTTACTCTCAGTTTCCTTGCTTATAAAATAGGCAAATAGGGATGTTAGAAGGACTGAATGAGAAAATATTTACAACCTCATTTATACAGTGCCAGGTTCAATAATAGCTTTAGTTTTATTTTTATTTGTATTATAGCAAAACAGCTCTACTTTAAGTAATGATTTTAAACATCAATTTAAAAATTGCAGGTATGTTAATGTATAACAACGTGGTTGATTCAGGTAAACTAGCTCTACCAAAATGAAAGCTACATCCTTGCTGTGTGCATAATCCTTTACTGAAAACTAGAAAAGCATATCATTGAAGGACTATGTAAATTTTTTTATATTATAGAAAATCTTAGGTTCAAGAATTTCTACTCTCCATATTAGCAGAGAGGAAATTGCAAAGTGTTCTATTTATTTTAGATTTAATGTGTCTTTTTGCTTCCAGGTTTTACTTTCACATATTCCTTGGTTTTGCATATTTACTCTTGTTAGAAAAATGCTGTAACACTGAGAGTAAAATAAAATCTGCCTCTGCACCTCAACTCTTGTCATTTTGCAAGGTCTCTGTAATATCTGGGGAGACTTTCAATGCGTCTCTAGATTACTTAAGTATGTATCTAGTATGGTCACTTTTGTGGTGAAATCTATATAAAATTATTAATTGTTTTTTACAGATCATCAAGAAACTGATAAATATTAATGTTCTTTCAGTTTGTAAGGTAAGCAGCTTCTTATAAATATGCCATCATTTTTTGGCTCTTTGTATTCAAAAACAGTAACATAATCAGCTCGTTCACTTCAGTCTACTCTTGTTTAGATGTGTGTATATATTCCAGTGGTCTGTTTACTTATGTCCTCAGAAAGTAGAAAGAACTGAACACCAAACAGGTGTCTGTATTATTTTGCTTTTTAAAAACTGAACAGTTATTAAATGCCTTCTATATACAAATACTGTGGTAGGCACAGGGTCTACAAAAACCAACTTAGGCCAGAGATTCATTTTTACAAAGATTTCATCCACATGCTATTCATCGCTGATAAATTATTTCCATTTTGTCTCCCCTGTGATACATTTGAGTTGGTAAATGTTGTGGTGAAGCAGTGTATGGAGAATATGGGACTATAAAGTAACAAGGGTGATTTTTGTAAGCCACACATAATAACTAGTTGCTAAGCATGCTTTATAGCTATGTAGCTTTATATGCCAAAGACAGCACAGTCACTATCTGCCAAAAGAAAGAATATGTAGCAAACATAAACATCTTAACACACATTTTTCTTTATGTTTTAACAGTAACTACAAAAAGATACCATACCTTGATTACACATACCAGAGCAGTGAAAAATATTGCCTGAGACAGAATTTCCACGGGTAGTGTCAGATACTTTAAATTTGAACATACCTATAGAAAGCCAAATCCATTTTCAATTACTCATATATACTAGTTTATTTAAGGAAATCAAAAAGTGTTTAACTCAAAACTATTAGAACTGACCAGATAAATATAAATAAGAATTTAATTATTAATTTTCACTTTATGGCATTGTGGTCTTTTTCTCTGTTGTGAACGTTTAAAGAAAAATTTTTCTTGTGTTTCCATGTCCTGAGAGAAACTATAAATATCTCTTTCATGTTGATTTCAAATCCAAGAACACAATCTTATGCCTTGCCCGATTTTTCATGTATGGCTATGCATACATACATGCCTGTGTGACATATATGTGGTTTAAAAGCGTTAATTCAATTTTAGAAGACAAATAACATTTGGTAGCTTGCTACTTAAAGGTACTGTAAATGAATTAAATGACAATTTTGTAAAACAAGCAATCACTCCCACTGTATCTTTTCCTTTGTCGTATTAACCAAGTATTTTTTGTCATGGAAGATTCAGTTTAAGTGAGGTAAATGAGTTACTAGTGGAACCATGCAGCAAGACCTACATGCACAACATTGATGCTTTTAAAACATGGTTAATATGAATATATCTGTATAGTTTCAAAGGTATTTTCTTAGCATATTTATATAAATGCAATTATTCTTTAATAATCCATATGAGCCTTCAAGTTAATTAAATAACTCTACCATTTACTAGTTATATTGGACCTTGGGAAAATTACTTAACCTATGTACTTTAGTTTTCCATCTGTTAATTGAGGATGATAATTCTCTTTGCCTCACACAGTTGTGAGGCATTAAACAAGGTAATGTGTATAAAGCTCTTAGAATAGTGCCCACATCATACAGTGAGGGCTCTCAAAATGTTATTGTTGTTGTTAAACTCAGGACTGATAAACATTTTTAGTAAACGTTTGCAACTATGACCTTATTTTTTAGCAAGCAAAGTTTTTCGATCGAAATTAATATCACTTCTAGCCTACAATTTACATATTTTGTGATTTTTGCCTTTTGAAATGACCGATATGTACTGCTATTTTGATATACCTTTGCTGGTACATTTGGCCAAATGCTTGAAACTAATGAGTGTTAAATCAATGTGCCTGTGTTTCATAATATATTGTACTGAGTTAATGATAAAATATGTTCAAGTGTTTCAATTTTGTTTTATAGGATTACTAATATTAGCTAAAATTAGTCTCCTGATAATTTTAACTCTTATGTCAGAAAACTGTGTAAGGGTTTTACTGTATATCCATTAGTATTTTCTCTTATAACCTCCTGCTTGTCTGCACTTTTGTGGTTTTTTTCACTCTTATAGTGTAAAACACTGGCCCCCTCTGTCTCCTGGAACATGCATTTTTGGTTGGCAGTCTACAGAATACTAATGATAAAAGGCCACGGTCCTGCCCTTAATCTGCGGGAATCAGTCGGCCCGCTGTGCTCCATGGGCACAGACAGCATCCTTCAAGCAGCGTCTGAGCACAGATCAGCATGTGCAGTGGTCCTCACATCATGCCCCTGCGTAAAGACCAAACAGTGCAAAAGGGAAGGTGTGACTAAAACAGCACAGATCCAAAAGCACCACAGAGTATCTTTCAGTTTTTTAACAAAATGATGAAACAAAAATGAGGTATCATTCCTAATATCTTGACAAATTATAAAGTGCTTCTCCCACGTCTTCATTCTTCCTCCTCCTCTTTCTTTTTTCACGTTGTCATATGCATGTGTTCCTATGAAATGAGTTAGTGGAGACAAACGGTAATTTATTAAACACTTGTGAGCCATATTGATAGGAAGTATCATTGGCAGAAGAACTGGATATGTGCTTCAAATTTTTGTACGTAAGCTGTTTTTCTTCCAAACTAAATCGCATTTTTAAAGTATTAAGGGAGATTGCTATTTAAAATATTTCTTCATTAAGCCAAATAATCATCCCTTAATTTATCTTTAATATGAGACTGAATTTTCTTGTACCTTTGTGATGTGCACTTTTAATGGAAAACAATTCAAAACTCTTGACTCGTAGAATAAATGGATCATGGAAGTAATACCATCTGGAGGATAGCTGATTAGTTTTTGTTGTCCTATAGGCAAGATCAATGTAGTTGTCATCTCTGAACACAGTTTGCTAGTGACCATTCAGCTATGAAAATTGTTTGAGTTGGAGCAGTGGGGGCAAGCGATGTGCAGTGACTAACCAGCAGGCAAGAAGAGGAAAAGCATGATTGTACAGGACCTCGTGCTGGGCTCCGAAGCATGGAGAGCCATAGAAAGCCTTCAAACAGAAGTAAGGTGTGATCCAATCTATGTTGTAGAAAGGCAGTTCTAGTGGGAGAGTGACATAGCAATATATGTTTTGTGGTATATGTGTTTATCTTATTCATACTGAGAGAAAGGCGTCCTACCTTTTGTGTGTGACCCTCCCAGGTTTAGGGCTCTTTGGTGCTGCTATGATTTGCCCTGTAGTACATTTGGATGAATTGTGCCTATTGTTCTTTAGTTGACTGTGCTATGTTCCCAGGACCAGGACCACATTTTCAGTAGCAATGGCTGTTTGGAGCCTTAGGGTAACTTAAAAAAAAGATGAAGACTGGTCTGGCTACCAAATCTTCGAAGGTTTTATGGTAGCTGGACATCAGGGGAACTAGGGTATGGATGTCTGCAGCCCAATGCCATAATGAATTCACTGAAAAAGTCATATATACAGAAGACCACTTCTCACCATCAGTGTTGGTCCAAGTTTTATCTTCTCACCAAACCACATGATAGTGAATAACAGGCTAAGGAGAGACTGGTAAAGTCAGCTTGCCCTTGAAGGTTTGGGTTTGTTCCCCTAATTTGGAGATGTTTGCTGGATAGGGCCCCTGCTTCTTGTTATAAGTCTGTGCTGTGCCCTGAGCATTGAATGACCTGGCTTTACATTCCTTCAGGTCCACGTGTTCCTGTCCTGGATTAGTAGGTCAGATGATTATAGAAATCACATAAGTCCCACATTCCAGTAGAAGAATGATAAAAATGAAATATCCTGAGACCAAAGGAATTACAGGTCTTCGCCAGATAAAGTGGTGGCCATGTGGTCCAGAGGAATATTGGGGAAGAAATATTAATCAGAATAGCCCTGATGTTTGGTTTTTTTTTTTTTTAATGTATTCCTTTCCAGTCACTTCTCTATATACATTTAATAAATAGTTTGTAATCATATATACATGGATATATGATGAGAGAGAGAAACATAAACATTTTCCGTTTGGTTCCTAAATGTTGAGAAACAGTTTTCCTTTTTTTTTGTAAATTTGGGGGGTAGTCGTGAGGAGGGTTGTTCAGTTTCCTTGGTTTTTTTTGTTGTTGTCGTTGAGACAGAGTCTCACTCTGTCGCCCTGAGTAGAGTGCAGCGGCATCATCGTAGCTCACTGCAACTTCAGACTCTTGGGCTCAAGAGAGATCCTCCTGCCTCAGCCTCCCAGTTAGCTGGGACTGCAGGCATGTGCCACAATACCCGGCTGGGTTTTTTTCTATTTTTGGTAGAGACGGGGTCTCACTCTTGCTCAAAATGGTCTCCAACCCCTGAGCTCAAGCAATCTTCCCGCCTCTGCCTCACAGAGTGCTAGGATTATAGATGTGAGCCACCACGCCCGGCCTAGCCCTGGTGTTTAATCATAAACAGCTCTTCCAGGCCATTTAGCTCTCCAGTTCCATTTGATTGTTTCACTTTTTAATCTTACCTAATGTTTTGGGTTTATTTCTTTCTCTCAGTGGCATGCTTAACTGGGCTTTCCCTTTACCAGGGATGTTTAGAAGCCTTCTTGCCTGCTTTTCCAGTTTTGCTCTCAAATCCTTGAGGAATAAATTTAGTCTTGTTCTTGTTCTCTGCAGAGAAGTTAAGTGATGTAGAAATTCTTTTTAGGTGATCAATATGGCAGGTAGATCAGTCTCAACTGTAAGAGAAGTCCTTATAGATAGGGTTTTCTTCTTATGATTACAGATGCTCTGTGATTAAAATCTAAGTCTTATTTTTCATCAAAAGCGATGACCTTCACACCAGAAATGGTGGAGTTTAGAGACAAACCTCAAGGTATTGAACCACACTTTTCTAAAACAGTTCCAGTTTTATGCCCGGAGGGATTTCCATCCCAAAATAGAGAGTTTGCTAATGAAATTGTTGAACTGCTATTGATATACGATCAGAGAAATCACGGAAAATTGGAGAAGTACCACAGTTGCAGAGGCAGGCCAATATAGGTCTAATTTCAAACAGGTTATATACTGATTTTCACATCAATCCAAAGACAAGTTCTAAAATGGATCTTGTTTGTACCGTTT